AGCGAAATTGGTTTCGACACCCATAATAGCTGCTATTTTACCTTCTCAAAGAGAAATGAGCCTGCACAAAATCATCTGTATTTAGTTTAGAAAATGTGTTTGGTATTTCTTTAGATAAGATAGCTGATTATTTACATTTTTTTTGCTCATTCATTCCGTTATTTTATTTCTAATGTCAATAATACTGTTCATGATCGTCTTGTACTTTTTCATTCAATGAACTTCTTAATGATTCATCAATATGCTCGCATAAATGATTTTTTTTCTCCTAATTTATTTTCGACATTTTGCTTTTCGAGATTATTTGTATTCGATATTTTTCTTTCGACATTTTCTTTTTCGTTCTTTTTCTCTTCGCTGTTTTTCTTTTCTGCTTTTTTCTTTTCTGTATTTTTCCTTTCTATTTTTTTTCTTCGACATTTCATCATTCGACATTTTTCCTTTCTGCCTTTTTCCACCATACCTCAGAAAATATAGAATATGTTCGTTTTTAGAAACGGAACCATACTGTGACAAGCAACGTTATTTAGAACGACGATAACTGAAAAAAAGGATCCTAATTATATATCAATTATGATAGGATAAATTATTAATTATAGAATTTAAACACTATCGATTGAAAGTTCTCTTTAAAGACATTGATAAAATATGAGATGCGTGAATGCTGAATTTTATCTGTCATTGATACCAGAGACCGAAACGAGTAAGAAAATCGATATTCAAAGTCAATTCGAGTCGGTTGATACCGAAAAAAGAGAATGCCTCCATTGTCATGAATAAAATGTCTCTGCATTCTGGATAAAATTTGACTCAAGTTTTCGTGTATCTATGTACTAAATTTATCGTTTTTGAGAAGTTTGGCAGCTTCAAAGAGGAGGGGTGTCAATGTAAGGGGAAGAAATATCGATACGCACACCGGAACCCAACCGCTATAAGTATCATCTGCTTGGAGGAAGACGTAGATATTAGGACAATGAGTACGCAAACGTCGAATTTTGGTGAAAGTCTATCTTAACTTTCCGAGTTTGCACTGCTGTTAGCAATCTCTAAACTTGGTTGAATTGATTCTACAACCTTTGAATTAGAAAACCGTGCTATAGAGATCTTCAATCAAGTTTTACAAAGTCAGTTGTCAATCAATTAGCGAATCAGAGTATGTATCAGAATAATAAATCTACAATTACTTATAACTGTGTTGTCGATCATGTAATCGAAGAAGCAAACATTCGCTGTATCAATAATAGAACTTCATCCGTGTGAATTAGTCATGAAAACAGCTGCACATGGATCTGCTTCCTCCAAAAGTATATATCTTAAAATAAATCACTAGAAGCTAACTTTTTAGAATGCAATAAAGTAATAGTTGTCTTAGTAGACTTCCCACACAAAGTGATCGATACAATTCGCAAAAGAACATGATACAGAGAGCATGAGTCTTGCACTGAAGTGAGTTTTATTGCTCATATTTGAAACTTAATGGAGAAATCACTACTGAGCAGAGTAAAGAGAATTGCATTCGATTCAACTCCTTTAAAAAAATCTCAATTGTGGTTTTGGTCTCTGTTTAAGCTCAATGTTACAGTTCTCTGTTGATAGTCCCTGTCAAACTACTTAGGGCATACCAAAACTTCGGGCAGTGACAGTTTAATATCGTTTAGTAGGCTTAAATAACTTTTCTTCTATATAGGATGATAGAGAAAAAAAAGTTCTACCCTAGTGAAACATCTTGTAAGCAAGATCTTGATCAGATTTTGGAAAGATAATTTGCATATGCATATCTTGGTTATATCAGATAAATCTGTGCTTAAGATCTTGTTAAGATCATGGAAAAGATATCGTTCACTATTATCTTCTCACAAGATCTTGAATACAGCAAAAAGCGACATCATTAGTTTATTGGTTACATGCTCACTAGTCATTCACCGTTTTTTTTATGCACATAGAGCCGTATATAAACAACTTGATTGGACATACGAAGCGTACATTTTCAAAATATATTTTTTTCTAAACTCTTTCTCAACTATTAATCATTCGAGAAAATGCTGATCTCGATCAATGATCGAGAGCAGACTACCCTGAAGTAGTGTGATGGAGATCGAGCCATCTCTAAATCAGACAGGTTCCAAGATCTGACTTGCTTTAGTTATACGGAATAGGAATAATTCAAATGAAATGAATTGGAAAAAAAATGTCATAACATGATTTTACAGAAAAAAAAATAAGTGCTATATATGATAGATTCGAACTACGCTTTCAGAATCTATCATGCATTGTGTCGCAAATCACGACACACACAACACGTATAATCTCAGTGTATACCCAAGATCTTATGGATCCATATCTAAGGTCTTATGAATCTGTGTCCAAGATCTTAAATGTCTGTACCTAAGATCTAATTCAAGTTCTTGGTGCAAGATAATCATATTATCTTGTACCTAAATTTCCAAGATTTGTTTACATTTCTGTACCTAAGATCTTGGCCAAGATCTTGCTTACAAGATGTTCGACCAGGGTATCTTTCTATACTATTTGATCGTACTTCAACTAATATTAAAATATTAAATTATCTATAAAACACATTTCGCCTGGTTATGTGCTGGTTGTACAGGATTGCAAAAAATCTTTTTCCATGGGGTGCTGGAAAATCTTTTTTATCTGTCGAACTTGATACAACTCTCTTTGCTGATCCTTCTAGAAAAAAATCTGTTGAACTTGATCAATAAATAACGGTGTTAGGGTCAAAATACTGGAAATTTCAAAATCCTCGGGTTGATATAGCTAAGATATTTTTGAGTATTTTGACCTTAGTACGGTTATTTATTGATCAAATTTAAAAACCTTTTTAGTAAAATGATCAGCGAAGAGAGCGCTACAAAGCCTGATAGACAAAAAAAATTCTGAGAAATTTATGTTTTTGTGATTGACTACCCACCGACGTGAGTGTTCAACCACTTGAAATTTGCTATAATTCTATAGCTCATTCTCATCGGAATAATGACGAGTTATACTATTAAATCCCGTTTTTGACGAGCTTTCATTTGGTATAAAATTAAATGTTGATATCATGTGTCGTTGAAGCTGTACCTCCATGGTAAAAGATTTTCACAATCCTGTACAACCAGCACATAACCAGGCAACATGTGTTTTATAGATAATTTAATATTTTAGTATTAGTTGAAGTACGATCAAATAGCATAGAAAGATAGAGCTTTTGTTTCTCTATCATCCTATATAGAAGAAAAATTGTTTAAGCCTACTAAACGATATTAAACTGTCACTGTCCGAACTTTTGGCATGCCCTAAGTATTTTTCTACATAAAAAAGGCTCTTGGAGTAAACCCTGTGTGATTAAAATGTATAACACGATGCAGCTGTTGTTACTAATCACATCGAGATTTTTCTATTCGATCTATTCTGGGGCACAGTTCTTCAACATCATTTTACTTAATCCTCAAGAAATTTAATAACGAAATATCTCAAACATGATAACGATATGTTATTGACATACACTCTTTGATTGTATATCAATAACGTCTGTCATGATCGGTGACGCAAATAGAGGAAAGTGCAGCTGTGGTATCTTTGACGAAGGGGAGGGGGACGTTGCTAAGATGTCGGTTATGTCTTCGATGAATCGTTACTAACGTTCAATCGAAAGCATAAACATCGATTGAAAGAACACTTTCACGGTCTTGAATATTAAGCAGGATTTAATGACTCATAAGATGACTAAAGATCAAGATAATATCATGCTATAAAGCTTGTCGAATACTATGTTCACATTTTCTACAAATCCAACCGTTTCGATATAGTGAATCAAATGTCGAAATTGCTTCTGAGCGTAATGGTGAGAGTGATTTGCAGCAGTATAAATACTTCACATTTTTCAAAAATATCGTTTTTTTTTGCAGAATAGTAATCAATAATTGGTCCTTAATGGTTAGCCGCTCTAGAAGTGGCAATGTACCAAGATGCTGTATTAGGATATGAACTTTAGTATTGAAGAATGAGATTAAATATTTATATTAGATATCAAAGATTAATTAATAGAAAAATTCGAAAATACAATAGTCAAAAAAGTTTTGTGCTAAGATATCTCACACAAAGGCTATTAAACCACACCACAGACCATAGTTGAATCATTGGTTGAAAAGGCATCACTTTTGGAAACTGCGCCTGATTTCAGCCAACAAGTACCACCATTGTATTGAGTCCATGTAAAATGAGTGCATCCTTGAACTTGAGCACACTTTCCACCACAAAGTTCTGCTGAAATTTGTACACTATACAAATCATTTCCTTGGAAATCACACGACATGGCCCAATTATTTCCGTTCCACTGAATAGTCGAACCACTTCCTCCTTGTTGGCCGTCAGGCACTACACCACAGACCATAGTTGAATCGCTGGTTGAAAAGGCATCACTTTTGGAAACTGTGCCTGATTTCAGCCAACAAGTACCACCATTGTATTGAGTCCATGTAAAATGAGTGCATCCTTGAACTTGAGCACACTTTCCACCACAAAGTTCTGCTGAAATTTGTACACTATACAAATCA